TTTAAAGTGAGACTTGTAATAATGATAATAATAATAATAATAATAGTCGTAGTAATGAAGGAAAGGTACATAGATTAACTAAATAAACAAAGCAAATAAATGTCTATCCGTTTATGGCAATGACAGAAGTAGTGATTGCACTTACTCCTTTTGTACACGGAGATCTGGTTTGAATTCATGACTAGCCAAGGCCTGTGCTTTGTTTAATAGTCTATAAGGAAGAAAACACAACAAGTTAGCATGTATTCGGTAGATGCTTTAAAAATCACGGTCAGGGTTGGTGGAGTGACAGGAGTCAATGAAGTGTGCTATAAAAGACCTTTACACAACCTTTCTTTCTCCATCGGAAAACCATGCTGGAATATGAGCTCGTATCCGTGTGGAGAGCGTTCTCTGACTACGGCCGGCTACGGCAGAAGACCGTCCGCATTATCTGGTCTGCAACCATGCAATCCCCACTAACCACCTAGACAACTCTCCTCTCAGTCTAAACTCCCAACCTGTGCAATCAAGTCCCCAGTCAGCACTATCATACCTTTCTGACGTGCCTGTTTCAGGAGATCAATCATCTGGTGGTGAAACACATCCGTAATTGCATCTTGGCTGCAGTCCGTCAGTGCATTGGCAGAAATAACAAATAAGCACTGTCCCTCTAACCTACAGCTTCATACTCCCATGTAAGCTTCTAGCCCTACATCACAAACAAATTTTACTGAGAATCCATTTGGATAATGCAGCTTTTTCTCGAGCGCTTATTGAGACGCTAACACCACCTACGTCGGATGTCGACGCCACAGGGTCCGCAGATAAGCTCAGACGTTATTTGCTATTCAAGCTTCCAGAGAGGAAATATATTCGGGGCTTTTCACTGGGATCTTGAAAGGTCGTCTCCGAAATACAGTAGAAATCAATAGCGAGACTTCCCAATGTTCTTCCAGACGTACCTGTTGTCCGATTTACATCAGTGTCCGGATACTGTAGATAGCCAGCTTGAGAGTGACACGTTGTTTCAGAATATCTGTGTTAGATATCGCACTGGAGTCCATAATTTGGAGGCTGCTCACTGACATCTGAAAACATTACTGACAGGCTAAGAATTGAAACAAAGGCGAGAGACTGGTGAAAGTGAAGACATCGAGGATTGTAAAAACATAGCCTAAAAGTTTATGTATAAAAATAAGATCGCAAAGAAATGCGCCGCTGAAAGTATGACCATTGTTAGCGATCGTATGATTGAATTTCTTCATGATTTGTTGTTTCACGGTTGCTGTGAGGTTTGAAATACTGCCCGGGCTCCCATATGGAATCCGGTGATTTTCTTAAATGACCATTTCCCGAACCTTTCCTTGGAGGCTCATTTCTTAATGCAGAGGAATAGCGTCAGGAGCTGATAGGGTGATAGGGTATGCAGGCCTATTGACAAGATATTGTAACTATTTCAGACATTTTGAGAACTTCAGCTGTACCTTTCTATGTACTGTTAGCTTTTGCTAACTATTATTTAGAGATTATGCAATTTACTAATTATAGCTTTACTTGTCATTTATATACAGTGATACCTTGCCATAAACTGATGTTCACTAAGTGTAACAGATTTTATCTTCACATTTAAATGATCTCGTTATATTCGAAGCAAATTCAGTGAAGCTCTTTGTGTTTTCAGCGTTTATTCTGTCACATGTATACAATTTCCAACTGACTCACTGTAGTTTTCTGTCCAGATTTTCTCAGCTGAGTAACTATCTCCCATTATTTCCTTTTATCCACAACTACGAATCAAAACCTGCATCACATTGTTAATTGTGCACAGATATTAAAGACTTAGGAAAGAACAGAAGTAAAGATGATCGACTCAAGGGAGTGTTTTGTTTATTTGTCGAAGTTTACAGATGGTTTATAATTTTCTGTTGTACAGATCTTAGACCTTCAAAGTAGCAAAATAAAATATGAACCAGTTTGTAGACTCTGTGATACTATCTTCTTGGAAGTCAATTGTGTGCAGTTTCACATCGACTGTGTCACTAACATCATAAATTTGTAGAACTCAGTGATGAACATGATTTTCAGAATAACTTTTTGATTGTTCCTTCAAACAAGAGAAAATCATACTTTTGAAATTGCTTCAAAGGCGAATAAAATATTTTGTTGTTACTCATCTTTGTTGAATCCTCAGTATTACTTCACTCCTAGGGGTTAGTTATTGAATCTAAACACTGTCTGGCAGATATTCATGTCATTATTATGAACCTGTAGGAATTTGTCTTATCGTCTAATGGGTAGGTAAATGTAGCTACTAAATTACATCAATGGCTATAAGTCAGGATAGGGCTCGGGTATATGTGTCTGTATTCTAAGAGCTGACAGTTTCATAGATTTATCAATAGGCTCATTGGAACTATACAATCTTTCCGTTCTTGTTATCTGTTAAAAGAGAATCTCAGCAACTTGTAGTGGACATTTAACCTCTGAATTTTTGTTTAAACTCACTCACCCCACTTTTGGCGCTTCTGGATTTTTTGGTCCGTGATTTTCCTGACGCACTTGGTTCGCTCCCTCGTTGTGCTTTCATACAGCGCACTCTTCGAGCCTACCTCCAGTCGAGTCAGCAGATAAGTTGTACAGTCACTTTATTTATCAAATCTGTTATTCAGTTACATTAAATACAACTCATACTACGAATTCTTTCCATTTTTAGCCTTTAAACTTTGATTGCGTTAATCAGTACTTACACGTTAGGTAGAGTACTGGTAAAGTTATAGGACGGTGAAGTTTTTAGTAAGTGTGGGGATATCGAGGTCTATTTTAAGTCTAGCCCCAACACTTACAAATTCATTAATTACACAAAGCAGATTCTAGCTACCCTTTATTATCAAACGGCCAAATCTACAAGATTTGATCACACAATACCTGATTCTAAGAAATCACCTCGAGTTAGTCTGTGATTTGGTATTTTAAGAACACAATATTCAGCGAAGACACTCTTTTCAACAAGGAATTTATTACCAAGCTGTACAATCGTATATATATGGTTTTATAAAGAAATTATATCCGGTGGGGGAATTAAGTCAAAGATGTGAATACATGAAATAATAATAATAGCGTGAAATGCAATTAAAATATTTGTGATTATAATCATAGTTTAATGTCAAGTGGCAAAATAATTAATGTCATGTATAGAATAATACATGAGGTGTATGGATTTTGGGAAGAGGTACATAATTGTAAGATTATTAGACGAATATAAAATGCTAAATAACATAGTGTCACTTTTGATAAGATAGAATTCATTATTGTAAAAATAAAAAAATGTAAAAATTAATAATTCAGGGTTTAAAATGACAAGTGGGTCAAGCGGAAAAGATTCACAGTGAGAATAGTAATAATAGTAATAATCGTAGTAATGAGGGAAAAGTACATGGAATAACTAAATAAACAAAATAAATAAATGTCTGTCCCTCTACGGACAAGGCAGAATTAGGCATTGTACATACTTCTTTTGTACACAAATGTCTGGCTGGCTTAAAGTCATGCATTGACAAGGCTTCAGCTGTCTTTAGAAGTCTGTAACGAAGAAAACGCCGGAAGTTGGTATGGATTCTATATATGATCTTGAAATCATGGTCAGGGTTGACCGAGTGAAGAAGTCGATCAGGTGTTTCAGAATAGAGCTTCGCACACATTTCCTTTCTCCGTTGTAAAACCAAGCTGGAATATGTTCTCGTATCTGTGTGGAGAGCGTTCTCTGACTACGGCCAATGTACCTTGCTCCACAAGAGCAGGTGAACTGATAGATGCACATGGAGGGGGTCAGACGCGGGAGCTTATCTCTTACAGAGAACAACTTGTGAACGTCATACGTAATTTTGCTGCAGGGAACGTCTGACTGATTGATTTAGAGAGACGATTTTCGAGCATATCTGAAGCTTGATCACCTTTGAATACCAAGTTCACGAATAAGGTTTTCTTTGGAACTGAGTCAGTGACCAGTTTAGACTGCTTATGAACCACATATATACGATTGTACAGCTTGATAATAACTTCTTTGAAAAGAGTCTCTCTGCTGAATGTTGTGTTTTTAATGCTACAACAGGAATTATTAAATTATCTGGTATATTCTTGTGGCTTTCAGAGAATGTGAGATGCAATACATAGCCTCAGTACAGTACCAGTACTTGTCTTTTCAAGCAGGTTTATACTGACATGAGATACTGAGTCACTGTATATTATATTACTTCTCATCTGTTCACCTTTGAATAACTTTCTGGGTATGGTGGAAGTTCGTGCAGTGAAGCTGATTATTGAAGTAAAGTCGTATAATCTTGTCTAAATTTCAATATTTTTAGATTTGCCTACACACATCAACATTTTTGGTCAGTTGTCTTCCCACTGAATTTTTTAATAAAGGCCTATATTTTTTTGTAATTTGCTTGATAAAAATTTACTGATACAGATTTATGCAAAGTATTGTTAGACCTCGGTGAATTTCTTCTTATATGAATTACTCGGTAGTTGAAATGTTTAGTGGTTCGTGTTTACTTCACTCGGATTGTATAGGATAACGTTTACTTGTGATATCAGCATGTTTAACATGACATGAATACTCATTTTGACTACTTTACAGGTCAATTGTATAATTCAAGAAATCTGTCCGTCTACGTTAGATCAAGACTTTGACTGTGCATCTCTCTTTGAAAGTCTGAGAAATAAGATAGAGCGAAACGAAACACCAAGCGGATTTAGTGATGACATAATCATGTGAGATTTTGCTTATTTTTTCAAAAGCATTTATCTAAACCTTCGCAAATAATTCCTCTGGTTGATGACCGGCTGTTTAATTTTTTTGAGAAAAACCCGACAAAAGACACTTTAATAAGATGAATGCAAACTACGGGATGGAAAATCCTTTTCTTGAAACAGTTGACCATCCTGCAAGTCATAGACTCCGACGATGTTCTAAGTGTGGAATTCATGGTGAAGAACATGTACTTTCTGACTTTCAGATTCAGTTAATTTTAAGAATTGAAGGAATCCGTGAATGGTTCAATATAGTGAACTCTTGTGTTCTACTACGTGAACTTGATCCACCTTTACCATCTAATTCATCAGTGGAAATTCAAATTCGAATAGGGTATTGGAATGTAAATCATTTTGGTTTAAGTAAGACTGAGCATCCGTGATTTATGGAAGTAGTATGCTTAGCCATATCAGGGGCGAATTTCTCACTGATAAAACAAGTTATACTTGTATTTCAATAGTTTTGAATTAAAACAAAACAATCGCAACAGTTGGTATGGTCACTGGCAATAATTTTGCTCGAAATATCACCAAAAACAAAGAATTTATCATTGAGTATAAACTATTGAAAAATAATTATACTTCATTTGATCTATTCCACAATGCTCAGACTTTTTTACTGACATGATTTCCTAGTGATACATCTGCAAGACGTTTCAGATCTTGTAGTCGATGAACACGTAAGTATACATTATTTATTCAGGCTATTTTGAAATGCCATTGAGGATCATTGTTTTTCCAATGAATGAATGATGTTTTAATTGAAAAGAGCGAATATTTCTTGTGAGTTACGAAATGACTTTGACAGCCAGTCTCATTTATGTATTATTGGTGTGAGATTATCGTGTGTTTTATAACTTCAAGCATAGTCACTTAATAGTTGATTCAGAAAAAATTACATGGAATTCAAAACCGTTATCGTCGTAGGAAAAACGATAGAATGTGTGAGAAAAGTTGCTTTAATGGTAACAGAAAGACGGTACAAAATCTATGAGTTAATTATGTATAAGGGCTTCATCAGCGCTCGGAATTTATTGCCAAGCGATAGTGCTTCAGTCATATTTCTGCCCAGTTTTCGATACGTGATAAGTTACAGGCAGGTAAGCATCCTTATAAATACCCTTTTACTAATTTCTTTAATAAGGTTTATACGGAACTGTCACATGTTCCTCACTGAGGATGCTGAGTGAAGTTAAGAAATTTGTGCCGATATAATGTTTTATTCTTCGAAAGGCTTGCTAAAAGCTTTAGATTATATCCTTTATAATCAGTAAAAGCGTTGATTCAGTGTGATATTTTGTCAAGAGTCTTACGATTTCATCAGACGAAAACAATTTACATGAAAGAACAAACATTAAGTCAACATAAGAAGAATCTTCCTCCTTACGAGTTTACAAACGGAAATATGTGCTTGAAATGTTTGACAAAAGTTTATTCTAAGTTTATAAGTCAGTTGGTGAATGTGTAGTGCAGAATATCCAAAGTTACTTAAGGTCTGTGATAAATGTCCATGTTTTTGTTTTCATTATCAATTTACAAAATCTCTACACTCCTTCTTCTGTTAGAAACGTAAGCTGTTTGACAGAACCTAAGATTGAATTGAAGTTATCAAAGGTATTAAAGGTATTGATTGTAGAGCTAAGGCATCAAACAAGTGCTCGACATATGGCATCATCATATAGCTGTTGTTTGTGATTGGTTATCCTCACAGGTTTGGACTCAGAATTCACCACTCTTTGGTGAATGCATTCATACTTTATCCTCATCTTAAGCATAATTTCTTTCAAGTCTTTGTCTTCCTATTACCACTTTCTTTTTGTCTAATGATCACTTAACATTTCAACTTCTGTCATGTTTTCTTTGGAGGTAATTTGAATATACATTTGATTACCTGTAGTTTGCAGAATTTTGCATGTGGTGTGAATTTTTCAATACATGGACTCATTCTACTAAACTTAATATCTCAGTAGGAAGTCAAGCGATTGTTTTCCTCACATATTTGCTCATTTTATCTGTGTTCCGAAGTATATTGTCCTTCATTCACTCATGTTAATGAATGAGTTTTCTTCTTTACTGAATTTTGAAGACAGTAGAGGCCTTGGCCATTCATGAATTCAAGCCAGATCTCCGTGTACAAAAGGAGTAAGTGCAATCACTACTTCTGTCATTGCCATAAACGGATAGACATTTATTTGCTTTGTTTATTTAGTTAATCTATGTACCTTTCCTTCATTACTACGACTATTATTATTATTATTATCATTATTACCAGTCTCACTTTAAATTGTTTCCACTCTTCATTCTAAATCCGAAATTTTCCACAATATTGAATTCTATCTTGTCAAATCTCACACCATGTTGTGTAGCGTTTTATATTAGCCTACTAAACCTCTAATTATGCACCCCTTTCAACAAGTATATATCTTATGAATTATTGTATCAATGATATTACTTATCTTAACACTTGACATTTCAATATCATTATAATCGTAAATATTCTAACTGTATTTCCTATTATTATTATTTTTTCACGTTTTCACACATTTGAATCCATTCCCACACCGGATATAGATGCTTATCAAACTATTATATATATACGATTGTACAGCTTGATAAAAAAATCTTTGAAAGGAGAGCCTTTGTTGAGTGTTGTCTTTACAAGTCTATAATAGGAATTATTGATTCATATTTACTCTGTTTAGCTGCGTTCCGAAGTATATTGTCTTTCGCTTGCTCACGGTAAGGAATGAGTGGGAAAATAAACTCCTGCTATTACCCCTAATTGGAAGGCATCTCGTTCACCTCAGTCAACAGGTTCTGTGTTCCACCGGAATGAGTATGCGTGTCTTCATACAATTCTTCAATCAACAAACGAGTTCCTCGTACATGCTTGTTAGGAAAGTCTTCAATCCTATGGTCTATGCTGAGAAGGTCGTCAACACGTAGTCCTTGTGGAGCGTGTTGTCATGTGAGTAACAGAAGTAAATTTCACCATCATCGTAATTAAGATATCTGTCACATCTGAATGACCAACGGACGTGATCCTTTTCTAAACTGATTAATTCGAAAGGTTTAGTCAATTTATTAATATTGGTATAATAATCAGATTGCTACAAATCAGTGCTCTTCACGCCAGTGTACTTCTAATTCTTTTCAGTCTACTAAATTATAGTCATTGTTTTCAAGTATGTAGGGGATTGTTTTGTAGTGGAAATATTGGGAGTGGTGTTACTGCACACTTGATTCCTCCGTTTATGCCACACGACTGTGACTTGTGAACCTATCGAGAGTGATAACAATCGAATATTTGTGACATCAGTGTTTATACTAGAGTAGTGATTAAACTTGTTTCACTATCCTTGAGATTCAAATCACTGAATTGGCTCTGATATTAGTGCACTTAAAATCAAGTGGCTTAAGAGATAATCGAATTGGACAGACTATTTGTGAAATTCAAACTCTGTCATCTATTTCAGGCATTTCAACGAATTCCAGCACAGTGAATGTTTATTACATACTATATTTTGAGGCTTGTATCTATTTTTTTTTTATTTTTGATTTACAGCTTGATTCCACACTGTATTTTTGGTACAAGTATGGAATTTTCAGCATGGATATCGGTAGCCCAAATTTTGCAGGCCGACCATAGATATCAGGTGTGCGCCGGCGTGGGCTCGAACCCCGGACCATGTGCATGGTCGGCGAGAGTCCTAACCACTGTGCCACCGACGCACTGTCATTGACACCCAGCTTTTAGCAAGATGTTTTCATGTTACGCAGACTTTAGTCTGAACCTACTGATCTTAGCCCTCACTGGTTACAGTTTGATTAGCCTACTCGTTTGATATATTTTGATGACGCAAGTAATGTTTACAACTAATATGTTTTTACGCTGTAATATACTTGTCTTCTTAGTTTTTATTATCAGAGAAGACTTTTACAAAGGATTACCTTCCAAATTGATAACTGTATCTGGTCGATACAGTGCTTGGTCGTTATTATATTGCTGGCGACCTTTTTAGGCTTTGTAAGATAGTGAAAGATGAACTACTTCTTAACCTGAGAAATCTGCATTCATTAATTTCAACTGCCTGTAGAGCGGACTTGCAGATATTCTTTGGCAAAAGCAATACGGGAAATTGTATGATCAGTTTAGATGGAAACATGTGTGTTTTCGCTTCTTGTTTCTCGCGTATACTCATTTGGAAATCAGAACCTAGTAGGTCGTTTGAAACACCCCATTTTACTTTTTAAACTCATTCGAGTACAGTAGTTGATTCACTAATTGAACAGCATAAAAGACACTGTTTCCGACAATCTAACTCAAACGTCTCTGTGGGTTGATTGGATGTGGATGTTTTGGTTTTGTCTCGTTTATTGCTTGTATGTGACAACTAATTCGATCTGACTGTCAATTTGCTATGATCATTTTGATTTCGGAAGTCAAACATTTTGTTGTGTAGTGTGGTGATGGCTTGGAAGTTATCAGCATACTCTACAATGCGTTGCGTGATAGATTTTGGAGAAATAAACTATATAATCCAAAACTTGATTGATACCCATTTGTCACACGAACAGATTTTCTCTGGTTCTCATTCTAAATATGATGAAGATGGCGTGTGTGTTATGGAATTTCTGAGTGAGGAAGACTTCGTCGTCAGGAATGACTAATTGGCTCTGTGATAATTATTTGTAGCTCCTGATCAGTCTTAGATTATAAATTATTGTGAACAAACAGAAAAGTAGAAGTTATGTGTAAATTTAGTTATATGTTGGTAATAGATGGTTGGAGGCAATCGGCACGAAACCTACGTCCAAGGTTTCGTACCGATTGCTTCCAACCAATACCAACATCTTACAGTGCACCGTAATGTCGAGTCACCTAGCATGGTGATCACATTGCAAGCTTGACTGATAGAATTCAGACTGTACCGAAGATAGGACTAGACACATTACACTAGTTACTGAATGGTGTGCAATTAAAACTTTAATTATCCCAATCATCTTTATAATCAAAGCAAATTACTTCTGTAATTCGACATCTTCCAATGCACAACATATGCTTCATAATGTTTATGGGTTAATAGGTAGATGTTCAGTGGAAGGTGGTAATTTCTGTTAGAAAATTATGATCAGATAATTTCCTGAAATAGTGTGTGTTCGGTGAATTGATTCTCAGATTGTACAGTGAATAATAATACTGCATATATCAAAGATCGGGTGCCGTGAAATACAGGTTCAAAAGTAATAATAATAACAGTCTTTCTCAAAGTAACAGCACTTATGATTGAGTTGATTAAAGTTAAGTAACTAATTAACGTTTCGTTGTGTTAGATTCGTAATCTGCTGTAGAATGCACATGACTCACAAATGAAGTGATGTAGTTATCATCTAAATCGCCTAAGTGATGAAAATGAAGTAATCAGAAGTGGAAATTGGAATCGTCATGTTGGAACACTTGTAGACCTGTTAGAATTGATTTGTGCGGTGTAGGTAATTAATATACTATCCCATGCGTCACACGCACAGGTTGGACTGGTACTTCCACATAAGCTGAAGTAGTTGGAGGTGAATCTGAACTCTTGACCGAGTATTCGAATGTCGAGTGGTAAATGCGATTAGTCACATCACCTGTGATCATTTGTATTGTGGTGTGTGTTTCCCGCTCGAAGCCGATGAGTATTTTAATGAATAAATAATAATAAGCATCTCAAAATTAATCTCTGGCTACGACTGATTCCTAAGTGGATCAGGTGATGTGGGTGTTGTGTAATGCTATTTCTTGATGTGACAAATTACAGTCCTTAACTTTACTGGTCAATTATTGCCTTTGAAAACTTTACCTAAATTTTTAAGAGGCAGTTTCTCACTAACATTAATATTGAGACTGTCTAGTTCAAGCTCGTCCCCACGTTATCTACAAGCTCACAGATACAATATTCACAAACTCGAAACAATTGTCTAATCTCTTCACATCTCTGTGGTTTATGTGTACAGTGCTCTCCAGCCACGCCTCTGATCCAGTTCGATTCCCGGTTAGTGCACTTATTAGTCAAATAAATAGTGTAAATAGACAACGACCTGAGGAAGTATGAAGGAGGAAGCACTGTAAGATATTCAAATTTTGGCCCTTTATTTTGAAAGGCAAATCTAATCTTCAACACTGTCTTGAGAGTCCGGCTGATTTTCTTCCTTGAATACACAGGTATCATTATACTTCTAAGTGTAATTTAGTAGAGTGGCAGTTCAATTACTATACTTCATCTCTTCAATTAGGTGGAACATATCTCATCATAGCCGGTGATTTCAGTCGCTTTTCCAGACATGAAGGTGAGTTTGAAGTTGATACAAGTAAATACTATGTATATCTTACAGGTGAGTTCAAGAAGCCAAAAAAGATTATATCATATTACGAAGAGTATTAAATGCTGTGAGTAGAGCTTGTGGTCTGCCACTGCATGAGCTCGCTAATACTATAGTCGAGAGGCATATAAATTCCTGTACGAAATGGGCAAAGGCTATAATTTCAGACCCTCTGCACCCCCTTTATTCACACCTGTCCCCTTGTATCTCATCAGGTAGGACGAGAAGTCAATATAAAAAGATATATGCTCGTACTACTAAGTATAGAAATTCTACAATACCCTATTTAGCGCGTACTTTATGTGACGAAGACTCTGTTAGACGTGAAACTTACAAGTTACTATGTAATTAGCACAGTGAATCGACCCTTTTATCGTTCATCTTTCTGTATTTTATGGTATTACACTTTCTATCGTTTAAATCGTTACTCTGCTATTTTATATTAGTTGGTATTACTATCATTACTACAATTTTGTACTTTATACATATTTTTCTCCGTACGGCACACAGTATTTTGCTACGTAGCTGCTACAACAATCGTTTTATTACTATTATGTATTGTGTATTTTAAATTTTTTTTGTCGTTTTTGGGTAAATTAGATGCAATATTGTACTGAATGCTGAAAATTCCTTGCTGTATCATGAGTACTGTTTTTGGAATAAAGCAATTATTATTATTATTATTATTTAGTTAAATGTGGAATTTATGTTCAAACACTGATGTGAATTATTTCAAACAGTTTGACGAAAATTCTGCGTCACGGTTTGCAACAGTTTCATGTCGCCTCGTGAATTTCCTGGTGTTTTGAATACTTGACACGTCAGTATAGCTTCTGAATTGCATGTATCTTTTGTTCGTCAATCTATTTAAGGAGATTTTAACCGTGTTTACAGTTGACGGATATGTTGATTACGTCGCTACCTCTGTTACATTGATTTGTTCAGTCTCATTTGACATGATCGTGTAGTTAAGATCAACTTAGTGTATAGTGTTTATTGATGCTGTTATCATTTGGCTGTTTACCTTCAGATGTGAAATTGAATGTGCAACAAAGATTCATACCTATAATATTATCGCCTTGGTTTTCATGGCCTGTCACTTACCGCTATTCTGTTTGCATTACATATTGACAGTTAGTGAACCTCTGTCACCAGAGTATCACCCTAAATTTCAAATTAGTGTGTTCAGATGAATGCATCGGCAACACGAAGTAAACGCGATGAATACCGACTATGGCGAAAGATTCACTGACTGGTAGACAACCAATCAGTATTCCTTTCTTGAATGAATGCTTTTGTATGTGCTACCTTCACAGTCCCATGCTGAACTTCCTCTATAGTTATTGTAGTCAATGTACCCCTCAAAATAAACAAATCATCATATCTCTGTGAAGGAACAGTAACCCTTCAAGTGTATTCGCAAGAGTGAACTAGATGGATAAGCATTCACTGCGTTACCATCACCAAAATAAGAACCACTTCTCAGATTTTGTAAACTTATGTAGCAGAACGCAGACTAGTTCACAGAGGCATTTCAGTGACCTTTTCAAAGATGAGAACTACAAGTGAGTAGCGAAAAGAAACGGTATAGAGATATCTATTGAATTCATCTCTAGGTGAAGATACCCGATTAACAACAGCAAAAGCACTAGTCAATATGAATACAAGAATTCTAAAGGTGGTTGTCTCTAACTGACCTGGCTAGGTAGCAACGTTTCAACCACAGGCTGCACGGATAGTGATGTCAAATCCTGTCAGAACTGGTTCAGAAAACGAGCAGACATACTTTGTCGATTTTGGAGTGATGAATATCTGCCTTGCCTTTCCGATATTGGCTTTAACATCTTCATCCGTACCGCCTGTAGTTGAAAAGATGTTGCATAGATTAGTGAAAGAAGTAACCTCTTTCGAATTTAACCCTTTTCTGTTAACTGTTAGTCATCCTTATTACCTTAGTCATCCCTAAGTTCAATGCAAATGCTGTCTCTGGTACTTCTTCTGACTACCTGTTGGTTTTCTCCTGTAAGTCTTCGAGTTTGTCTGACATTAAACATAAATCATCTGCGAAATCGATATCTCCTAGGGTCTTTTATCAGTGCAACATATTCCTGTCTTCTCGCTCCCATCTCCCACCAGTCTGGCGTATAATCCAGCCCATCACAGTTAGAAATGTCATCGGTGATAGTAAGCGGTCTTGTCTTACTCCTGTCTCCACTCCAAAGGCTTCTCTGCATTATCCGTCGCGGATCACTTGACATGTGGTAATCCAAATTTTCACCCATTCCTTTTCACTTTAGATATCGAAAACATAAGGAAATAGGTAGTGTTAAGAGTTTTGAAATCTCGTTGCACTGCTAGTTATTATTTGAAAAGTCGAAGCTTCTTTCGTCAATCCGAATTTTTTTAAGCTTGTCTGTAACTTCATCAAGTGAAATTACTTGTGACTAAAAGTTGTTTGTCTGTCGAGTTAATCGCTACAGCCATTTAAATTACCTAGAAGAGTAACTCGGATACCTGATTTTTCAACTAATAGATGGTAGAGACGAACATTGGTCTACACAGTGGTATGATGATATCTGAATGTGCTTGTCAAAGTGCAAACTACAGGCTTAATCATACATCCGTATGATAATTCGTAAACTCTCTGGAGGTTGATGGAGATTATAGACATTTTTAGGTTCACTTATCTATAAATCACCAAGAAGATGAATTCAGTCGAAATGCTTTGAATACGTATTACGACTCATCAGAATAACTCATGTGACAGGAGTCTTGTTCCTAGTTGTTTTATGAACTAGTTGACTCGTGTTTTCCACGTCCAGTGTGTTTTAAACCACCTGGATTAGTGTTTACCCTTCCCTTATTTCATCCTCTTGTCGACAGTGTTTACCTTCATTATCTTATGGAGTAGACATATGAGAAATACAAGATCTCGTGAGAAGTTTACGCGTTTCGGTTGTGTTCTATTCCTCATTCATTTTGTTGACACTGACATTTTTCTTCCTTAAAGTTGATCGCGATTTGTATGAGCATGGATTGTGGCCAGTTGTAAACGGTGAACAGTAAACATCTGTAAGTCTTTCCAAAGGTGGATATAATTATATCAAGGCATATGACAACGCATGGCTTCCAGCCAGTTTATCTTTGACTTCTGACTCCAGTGCTTGCTGGATCAGTTGTAATCGTAAAAGGATTGAGACATTATTTGATACCAGAAGAAACCGGTGGTGCCAACGGATTTGTCAGTGACGACGCTCACATATGGTTTGATATCCATGCACTGCGATAACAACTTATATTCAAAGCAAATTCGTTTATTGCAAAACTTTAGAAAACGTATTTATATGTTTATATGTACTACGTAACAAATGACATTTATTGTAACATGATAACAATTTTTAATTTAAGCTGACTTGTGTGTTGAAAAACTGCGAAAAAATGTGTGTTTGTGTATATGTTTACTACGTAATAAATGGCATTATTTTTGTCCGCGGTGAAGACTCAGTTTCTGAACTACTGGATACCTGTCCCCAACCAAATCAACGATTTCTTCTCCGCAAGCTATAATTATCCTGGTTGATTTCGTGACCATGTCTTCTTGGCGTTCTCCGTATATTTTCTACCTGAAAGAATGTTTTGACGATTAAATTAAACAATTAAATAAACAATATCAAAATAATGGCGACAGTTCTCTGTAACGACACAAATCACTATTCCTCACATATGAACATTACGCTAGTGCTAACAATAAGACGAGGAAAACCTGAATAAAATGAAAAGACTTTAAGCACCGCATAATAAAATGGGTAGTCGAAAAATATGATACTATTACTGCTATTGCTAACTGAGAGATACAATGCATCTAGACTAACGTGTTATATTTTCGGATCCCCTGATGATCTTCTGATGAAAAAGACTTTGTGAAGTACGCTGATGATTTAACAATTTCAATGGCTGTTAACTCCCAGGTACATTGTACCAAAATAAATAGCTTTCTGTTGGGAGCCAGTAAATGGTCTGAGTCTAATGGTCTTAAACTGAATCCTTCTAAATGTCAAACTGTGTCTTAGCGATCTCTAGTAAAATATTCCGCCTGACATTTTACATTAAGAAGTTAAGACACTCAGATATATATATAACTCAACCCCTCCTCCTGCAGTTCATAAACTCTTGCATCCTACCTATTCTTCTTTATTATTCACCCTTATTCTTTCCTCGTTTGCTTGAAAAGGACTATGTCACAATTCGTAGAATGCTGAAGACGGTCAGTACGGTGAGTGGTGTCCCAGTGGACCACATAGTTAACGTCGTTGTCGATAGGCACTTGACTTCATGCAATAAATTTGCTAGAGGGATTTTATCTGACTTGCAGCATCCACTTTACACTCAGCTTTCACCTTGCATCTCCTCAGGTAGAACAAGAAGTAACTTCAGAAAACGGTGTGCTCGCACGTCTAAGTATAGACATTCTATGATAGCATGCTTGGCACGTATTTTATGTGATGTAAATAGTGTCAGGCAAGAACTAACTAACCTCCTTTCATCTAGTAAATAAACAATTTCTCCATCCATCCTTATATACCTTCAAGTTTTACTTCTATTATTTCTATTATATTTATGGTCCTGTTGCTTCTTTGTTTTACTCTCTCGCATAATTGCAAACACCAACTTATCTCTATGACTGTCGTAATCTTTGTTTTCCCTTCACCATATCATGTGAAGAGAACGTTATATTCAATTTTTTAAACATGCTAGGACTTCTATACAGCATTGACAATATTGTGTGAAACGAGCCCATGGCAATTTTCACTTGTATTATTATTATTATCTTGACTGTTATCATTATTATTATTTCCATTTTATATGCTGCATGTTTCTGACATTAGCTCTATTGTATATGCGGAAGATTTTTTGTGTGATTGATTTGTATTTATAGTTTGAGGAAATTAGATTCAATATTGTGATTAATGCTGAAAATTCCAATCTGTATCACAAGTACTGCTTTTTGGAATAAAGTAAATCATTATTATTATTATTTTACTTCAGATTATTTCTAATCCTTTAGTTAGGCATATTGCAAAGCTGAAGACACCAGATATTGGATTGGTGTATTTTCACAATTGGACTGCTGTCTGTGAAGTATCTTCCTATATTATCTTAATGAATGACAGGTAAGCGTTGGTGATGGGACCACCATAAAATTTAAACACAGGTTTAGCAGAATAATTTAGTGGCAATGAACTCGTAGGTGCAAAATTCACACAAATTTCTCTTGTAGACTGAACAAGGCTCACAACTGTTCCACTAATCCATCGATAGATAATTACTGCAATTTTGTGATTTTACTGCCCCTAATTCTCTCTTTTGAGTGTCCTGAATACCTGATCCTGTCCTACAAATCCAGACCTGTAGTCATTTAAGATTGTTATCGACATTAGTGAGTATTAGTAACGTAAATGTAGGTGATACAAGACAAGTGAAACTTACTTGCTCAAGTGTCTGTAGCTCGCTATTGCCAGAAGGATTCATGAAAGATGGACTTGTCTCCCCCGTAGGTGTGAGTGCATATTCTTCATCGGTGTCGTCTGAAGCACCTCGATCAGCCTGTATCGTAGTATCAGGAGCTTCATACTTAACTGGTGCAAATGAAACTCTTCTACGCTTGATTCCTGCACCTGGTTGCCTCAATATGCTGTTCGGTGTCGTAGCTGTTATTTCATTCATACCCTGAAGTAAAAGTTTGAGTAACACAACAACTATTCTTACCAGACCGTCTAGTTCTAGAGAAGAGGCTGGTGATCCCGGAGCTGGAGTTACTTTCGCGGGAATTACTCCTGGTAACTGAGTACTGATGGGCGGAGAGTTTGAGTAAATCTGGTGCTGAAATTCTCGATATTCCCTTTCAATAGCTCGGAGTTTCACCAATTCTCTGTTGTTTTCAGCCAGGATTCTTTCCTGTTTCGCATCTTTTTCTTTCATCTTCCCCATCTCTCCACGTAGTCTCTCATTTTCATCATGTGACTCCGTCAATTCTCTTTCCTGAACAATGGTTTCGTAGCACAAAGTAATTTACTTACTTGGTCTGCTGTTTTCGCTTTCAGCTTTTTGATTTCCTCTTCCGTGATTGCTTGTTTCTTCAGAATCTCCATCTACATTTCGGAAAAGTTCCATTGAGTGTTTAATACTTCGAGAGACTAAGTGATTACTTACCGTGATAAACTGTGTAGTTATTGCTAATGAATTTCATAGGTTATTTTCACTGTTATTTCTTTTAATAAGTATGAATTATCTGTAGAACTGTACTTCACACTAAACCTGCATGTGTGTGACTTGCATAAAGCCTGTGAATAGCCACTGTATATAATTTCGGTATGAGTCGGATGTTTTTAAATGTAGACTTAGACGAAAATCAAAATCTATATTCTGAAGTCTTCAGGTTTAGCTGTCATATGTCGTCGCTATATCGTGCTTACTGTCACATGATTGATCTTTTATTGAAAAGAGTCATCCCTGTCGTTTCGTTATTGAGGAAACGTAAACAGGCTGAGTATGTTATTTCAAGTCATTCTGATCTGCCTCCTCGCTATTTCAATATCTTCCCTATCCATTTGAGTGGTAAGATCTTTAACAAGATCAGTACGGTATTCTAGTTCATTTGTGTGAAATCCCCACGGTGATAGCTTCTGGTGGATAGTTAAACGAATTAGTTCCCTTTTGGATATATTCTGTAACACGGTTTCATTTGGGTTTTACCTACCTGTATAAAAGTGATCCTGCAATTATTCGGAACCGTCTATCCGTCGTCTTGTCTCTGCATTATCTTATTTTCTTCTTGTTACCTTCTTTCTGACGTTTAAGCTATGACTATCAGATTCCTATTTATCTGTCTACTCTGCCGACTTTACTGCTTTCCAAACATCAAACAAATACTCCTGCAATCACTATTCGTTCTCAGGTTCATCTTACACAAGCTGTAGACTTCACATGTGAACAGTACATTCGTCCACCGTTTCTTGTAGACACCTGTGTCTGCGTAATGCCACCTAATTTGGTATTTATGCTCTAAACCGCCCAGATAGGATGTGTGAACAAATCAGTTTCTCGAAAATAAATACCTCTGACTGTTCAAGACAATTCAGTATTCACCCGACCTCACTTATAAGCGTACCACATCTTGATTCACCGAAGTTGTATTTAGGTGTATCTTTAAACTAGATGTGAATGCCATTCCACACGAAGTGATGTCTGTCTCAGACACAACGAGTTCATCTCTCATAGTTGGTGATGACAAAAGTAGCTATGACTCGGTAAATTCAAATGACACAAACTCAGCTTCATGTGAGTCAAGCCTCATCTGTCTAAAGCTCTACCTCAACTGACTACATTCCAATCGCTTCAGGTATTTCTACTAGTTCGGTTGTTCGTAAAACCTGTTTTCCTGTTGATGTAAGTCCTCCACAGATTCAAGTGTCTTCGTGCCCAGTTTGTCTTCTCAAGAGTCGGATTGTGAAACGGAACAAGTATTCGGATATAATTCACCGAAGCCTCCAGGTGGTGCAAAGCCAGATACCACCTAAGTTCGCAGTCGAATAGCTTTCTGTGCCCAGACAACCCCTGTTTCTAGTGGACGTAATCCCTCATCAAATTTTGTTTGTGAATATTTTCAGAGGGAGTTCTCTCGAAAGGTCCACTTGCAGAAGCAGATAGTGTCAACTCATACCAAAAACAAAGCATTCGAGTGTTCAGTTCGTTCGCATCAGACTGTGGAGAAAAGTCACCTGAAGACCCATTTTCCAAAACACACAGGGGAATAGCCATTTGCTTGCACTCTGTGCACTTTTAAAGCAGCTCAGTACTTCACATTAAAGCAACATTGCCTTAAGAAACACCACAATGTGTTTCTTTGTTGCAGAAATTGCAGTATCCATTTTATAACTCTAACGGGACTTGAGAATCATCAAAGGATATGCTTCGCTTGATTTCGTTTGTAAATAACAGTATATGTCAGTTTCATTTAAATTTACTGAATAGACCTTTTTCCTTCATACAACAAACCGTTGTGAATCGATTATTTTTGTGTGAATACACAGTACATATCTATTCATCAAAAAGAGAAAAATCACCAGAAACCAAATATGAGAATACCTTATTTCGATTCACTTGCATTGTTTGTTCTCCAATCTGGTCAATTAGATTCAGGGATTCATTCAATTTCTTGACCTTCGAGAAATATGTTGTGTTTTAATTAGAACCTACCAACTCCTTATTCCCTTCTGAGCTCTCCATGGTGTTTACATCGATTGTTTTCTTTAGACTGTCGATATCATCCTGTTTCTGTTTCAGTTCAAGGTCTTTTTGATTCAACTTCTCCTTCAACGACAATATCTCATTGGTCAGGTCATCAGTTTGTTTCTGTAACTGATTCTTCATAGTTTCGAGTCTTTGATTTTGCTCTTGAATGGATTTCTCTCTTAACTTCTGCTGTCCGACTTCTTGTTGTGAATATTCCAGTTGCATTGTGAGATTATTTATATTGTTAGACAACTGCATTTCTTTCAAAATATGCTCCTGTTTCTCTTGATTGAGAAGTGTCAATTGACTTTTTAATTCTCTTGTTGTTCTTCTCTTCCCTACAATTACGTAAATGCATATACGAGAATACCATTAAATTTCAATGAGAAGAAGGAAAGCTTGTACTCAGCATGCGTATCAGTGGTAAGTAGTAGTTAACCGAACAAATTTATCAAAACAGAAATTGTCACGAAAATCAGTGTCACGAGTTGTGACACTTCGAGTAAGATGTCATGAAAGAAGAAAACCAAGTAGAGGAAAATGCAACAGACGAAAGTGTACTCAAGAAGTGATAATTAGATGAAGGTTATTATGAATATTCAACCTCGTCGAGTTAACTAGCTCGCTAGTTTTCTAGCCGGTCCCAAGCCCGCGTAAAGAGGGAGGGTTGGACGTGGGGCTAACAACCCCACACCATTGAGTCTTTCAAACCGCTGGAGAAACTTCAGCACATAGAGAACATACTAAAAATACAAAAACTTCAAATAACAACAATCTCATTATTCGCTCGTATCGGAAAGACAATATGACACAGCCGGCTTGCGAAAGCCAGCTTTCGGAAAGCCAGTCAGCCGAGCGATGTGTGTACGTGAAATGTCCGTACAGTGTACGAGACTGACTTGGAATCCTGCTCAGGTAGACAAAGAGATGGGAAGATATGGCTTAGAAGTACTGGGTATCTGCGAAAGCAGATGGAATGGATGTGTATTGACAACATTGTCAACAGGACAGTTAATAATCTACTCCGCTCCGGTCACCCAGACGACAACTACGAACATACTCAGGCAGTCAGTGACTTTCATGATGTCACTAGTGCCAGCCAAAGCCCTAATGCAGTGGGAATCAATTTTACTACGCACAATCATGACAGCGAGATTCAACTCCAAAGGAAGGAAGGTTGTAGTTATCTTGCAATTCTACGCACAGTGCTACAAACAACGCGAAACAAGAAAGGATGTAGGATTTTTACAGACAACTACGAACAGTAATGGATAACATCACACATGGTGACATCAAAATCCTGATGGACGATATGAATGCAAGCGGAACTGGGAGCAGATAATGCAGGTAGAGAACTAACTCATCATGGGTTGAGAGGCTGTCGCTCAACGAAATATATCAAAACGGAGAGTTATTGACAAAATTCTGCTCTTTAGACGATTTGGTGATCGGAGGAAGCGTGTGCAAACACAAGGGTATACACAAAGCAACATGGATTTCGCCTGATGGACATACTACGAACCAAATATATATCATCTCAATGCTTCTCAAGGAGTCGAGACGCAGTCAGTCTGCTTGATACAAAGTCGATAAGGGGAGCAGATGTAGGCCCAGACCATCATCTAGTTCAAGGAAACTTCAAGATGAACTTGAAATCCACGAAAACAAATGGAGACAGACCACTGTAATTCAAGTCCAACATTCAGAAACTGGGCTGAAGGACAAAACTACAAGGGATGCCTTCGCTCCAGATCTGATCACAGCAAAGTCGGACACACTACGTGGCATCACTGAGAAAACCTGTGTGGAAAAATATCTGAACTAACTCTCTAAGGGCGATATTTTAGGAAACGTGTACAACTGTTCTAGGAAGAGGGAAGAGGCCAGCCAAGACAAGAAATGTCTGTCAACGGACACCTACCTGGAAGCCAATCGAGGGGAGGAGGATTCTGATGAGAAGACCCAATATAGAGATAGACAACAGAAGGAGAAGCTGAGTCCAGTGTACACTGCACTGAATCAAGAAAGAAGTGAATTAGAAAGGTAGGAAAGTCAAACGATAATGCTACCACACGTTGACTGGTAACTGAAGCAGAACAGCAGTGCGCAGCTAAAACAGACTGTAGTAGATAAACTAGTCTCTATCGGGGAAGAGATAAACCCAGATGATGAAAACAATAAAAGATTCTCAAGGGAACCTGATCATCAAGGAGGAGAAACAAATCGAACAGTGGACTGATCACTTTAAGAGACTCTTGAATCGACCACCACCGTCAACTCACACGGAATTACCACCAGCACATACAGCACGCACGGAACTGCAAGCCAGTAAACACCACTCCTCCAACGAAACGATATAACCGGAATGTGATAAAGCTACTGAACACTGACCGGAAGTGCAGCAGCACCAGACGTCATCCTTCTCGAAAGCGGCAGTGAAGATGGCTCCAGAGATTACGGTAGATGTTCTCACTCCATTACTGCAAAAAGTTTGGAAAGAAGGAAAGCTGCCTACTGATTGGAAGAGGCTCCAGGTACTTCGTCAAACTGACGAAGAAGGACGACTCAGGCCTCTCTGTGCAAGAACTGACTGACGTGGAATAATGCTCTTGTCCACTCCAAGTAAAATACTAAGTCGCATCATCCTGGAGAGAATAAAGGATGCACTGGATACGGAACTCCGCCAGCCACCGAGACAAGCTGGATTCAGGAAAGGCAAATCATGTGCTGATCAAACTCCAACTTACGCATCGTCATCGAACAAAGTATAGAATGGCAATCTGATCCCTCCCTACCTCAACTTCATCGACTTCGAAAAGGCCTTCGAAAGACAGTGTAGACCAAGAAGTTGTTTAGAAACTAACTCAACACTACGGCGTGCAGTGACCAAGTATTTATCAACCTCATTCAATAGCTGGTTATATGACAATGCCAGGTGTCAAGTGATTCACAACAGAAAACTCAGTGAGGCGTTCGAAGAGCATACGGGAGTAAGACAAAGCTGGCTGCCTATTATCACCGATAATATTCTTGATTGTGGTGGACTGGATTACGCGTCAGACTATTGGGGACGAGGAATCAGAAATACGTTGGACCACCTATAAGAAGACTCTAGAAGATTTGGATTTCGGAGATGATATATGTCTTCTGTCACACAAACTCGAAGACTTAGAGGCGCGCGAAAACCAACAAACTGGTTGAAGAGGCTGGCAGCGAAGACAGGACTGCAGGTGAACATAGAGAAGACGGAAGTGATGAAGATAACCAACCAACAGCAACAACAACCAGAACCGATTACCATCAACGAGAGAGATTTAACAGGGGTTCCCTCCTTCACCTATCTGGCCACAAAGTATCGTTTCAATTACAGGCAGTCAGAACGGACGGAGATGTTAAAGCCAGTCAGAATTGGAAAGACAAGTTACGTCTTCATCAACTTGAAACCAGTTTGGAAATCTCCCACACTCAGTATAATGAACAAGATTGGCATTTTCAGCACCACTGTGAAGTCATTCAATTCTTCAGTACGGGTGAGAAACCTGCACTGCGTATGACGAAAAGGATTCCTAACAGGTCACTGCAGATTCATCAACAGCTGCCTTCTCTGGCTCCATACTGAAGATCGAATGACCAGAAAGAATAAGCAACAAGAAACTCTGAAATGGAACAAACCAACCAGGAGTCGATCGCTCAAGAAATATGGAGAAGAAGGTGGAGATGGATTGGGCATACATTGATGAGGCCGCCGAATGACATCGCGCGTCAGGCAATGAATGCCTCGAGTGGAATCCCGTTGGGAGGAGACGAGTGGGCCTTTAGTGTGAAGGTGACATGGAGGAGATCGTGTGAGGAGGAGATGAGAGAGTTTTGTCGTTCATGGACCAAGCTGAATAGGATAGCAGAAAACATAACAAAGTGGAAATGTTTTGTTGAAGCCCTATGTTCCACTCGGAACGCAGGAGAATAATAATAATAAGAAGAAGAAGAATCTTCAGAATCTGGAAGGTTCCAACGAGTAAATACCTATAATTGAGTCTCACAGCATCCCAGTCAGGTAATCTGCATCTCCCTGGGTGTCTCAAACCAACAATCAAAGACTGTGCATCGGTATTGTGTTTTCGTCTAACGACACCTAGGTGTTCTCCAGCTTTGTAGTACTTTGGATGATATTGCGTGTCAAATCTCATGTCTCATCATACGAAACACATAACAATAATAATAATTGTTATTTCGCATAAACTAGTAGGCCCACATGGAACGCGTGCCATTCTCACAGACACAATAAAACACAGTCGATAGGGTCTTGTAAACTCTTCAATTAACCTCTTCTGTTTACTCGAAATTCCAGCAGTAACCTCACTGTTAATAACCATTTTCTTCCTTCCAACACAAAAGATTGAACGAAGGAAAGAATGGTCAGAAACCACTAATCTTGATGATCAGTTACAAAGCAGCCGTAAAATATGACGGAGAGAAGTGCGACGCAGTATGCACATTCATTGGTGAGTGATCAGATATCATACTGGGTGTTAAGGTAACACAAGTTATCAAGTTCCGAACTACCCTTCTCTATCCTTGCTGGGATGTCATCAGCAATCAGTCCGTCGGTGTGAGGCCAGTATGATAAATAAGTGAGGTGGTCAGAAAATCCAGCAATATGACTCCTTATATTTAACTTAGGACTCATTGCAGAATAATACTGTGTCGTAATCCGTCATTTGATATGGACAAAACTCAAGCAAACACAGACAGACTTTCATCTCTGGTGTTCCGAAAACTACATTCTGACAGAGTCTTCACCTGAAAGGACAATATCATCTGCACACTGAAGAATAACAAGGCTACACTCAGGACATACACTTAAAGATTACAGTCTATCAGAGCCAGTAAGTGATATGAGATTAAATAAAACTGGTGGCAGTGGGGATCCCTAATGAGCAGTTGTCAACAAAAGTGACATCACCATCCTTTACTTCTTTTTATTTAGTCCCTGTGAATACAACGTATCAAAGTAGACTTTATGGCAGTATTACTTCCAAAATTATTTCTCCTCAACAGCTTATGTTTCTGTAAACACGTCCCGCTCCGAACATTACATTTCTAATCCGATGGATGATACCATTCACTACCACTTAGAATTGATATGATATTGTCAAAGAATAGATGGGAGACCCACGCTTTATATGTTTATCGTACAAGAGAATATCAGGTTTTCTGTCGGGAATTGGTGAATAACTTTATCTACTTGACACTTGATCTACACATGTTAGCTGAAACGGATCATGTAGCATTGACTTGTATTGTCAAATAATGCAAACATTGACAGTGTAAAAATTGGATACGATGATTAATTCATACTACAGCCTCCAACAGCAGTACCCAGTATCTTCGAGTATGCAGTATGAAGACAAACTCTTACCGGGTATCTCCCAACTGAGATCACTTATGATGTCAGTAAGACAGCCACCTGTCCGTCGAATAGAAGCTACCTAGCATAGGGTTGATATCCGTCTGTCTTTATGTGTGGAGAGTGTGTGCTGGTGATACGGGAAGTCTCAGAGATTGCTCGTCTCTGTGACACTGCTCTTGTTTGGTGGGATCACATAACAACATGCTAACAGCATAGGCATAATTTTGAGCAAAAGAAATAAGTCATATATATATAGGGCAGGTTATCCTGGTCGAACTGAGTTGACGTGTATTATGAATACTCAACTGGCGTCCAGTATGATAATCGGTGTTAATGAAAGTATTACCTTAATAAAAGAATAAAAGATGCTTCGGTTATTCTATAGAAGCACCAATAGTTTGTGAAGGAGTCACTTTGAAATGAAGGTTATTTATCTAAAACAAATGTAAGTTTTGACAACCTCAATGATATGGCTTTCAAGCTCTTAGGAAGTCTTACACCTTGTGGTTGTTTTCATGCTACTGTCATCATGTTTTATTAAACAAGCGGTCTGAAGTAACGACAGAATGATAAAAATACAAATTTCTGCCAAAAGTTCATCTGACAATGAGAAAAAGGAGTCGATATACAGATTGGAATATAGTGAAGCGTACATGCGTCTTGAACAAAATGCACTCGTGTCTTCTACTACACATCCGACATGCGGTTTCGTCTGTTTGACAGGCGTAAACCAGAAGCCTTATGCAAGTCAAATTCGCGGTTTATTAATGACTGTCACTGCTTACTTTCTCCGATCACATATATGATTATAAAACTGAAAGTAAGTGTAGCGATCTCAAAAATGAATTATTAACTCCGCCTACAGAAAGAACGATGAAGTTTCAGTTGCTTAAAGTACAGTTTAGTCTAAAAACGCCATAGAATACGAAGTGAGGGGAATAAACCTTCATCCTCTGACAGTTCAGTTATTCCGTCAGATAATAGCAGTCCATCATTATCACTTTCAGAATTTTTTAAAGTTGCCTATTTCTTTTACCCACCGATGTGTATGCGTATACAGAAAATTATTTTCATTCAATCAGCTTTCTATTTTCAGTTAATAAAGTGCCACTTCTGGTTAGTCAATCACTTTGCATCCCATTATCTGCTGATAATAATGGTAGAAATAAATCAGTGCTGTCACGTTTGTAAAAGCTTCGATTCTGGTTGAGTTGGGCGAGTTTCCGCCAGCCCTTACTCTCACAAATGCATTCCATATGTGCTTAGTGAATAACTTATTCTTCTGTTTACTTTTGAACGCAAATAGTTTGTTAGCACAGTGCCCAGCATAGTCTCAAGTATTCTTATGTCAATTCACTGACTGGCACATTTACAGCACGAATGAAATAGGTTACATCAGCAGAGTGGAATCATAACCATGTCAAATAACAGTTAAGATTACTTAATGAATCCACCAGTATCTTCTTCAAAATAGTTGTGTTTACATTCCCAAAAAACCACAAACTGGATGTACCTTCTCCATATTGTACTGGCTTTATGCGCTAAGCATTCAAAGTGGCGACAATTAAATCACAAATGCAATCGTGTATATAGAAGTCTGAAAATTATTTCTAACTAATTGATGACTATCGAAAATCTCTATGCATACTCACCTTGATTTCAGAATGTGCTAGGTTTAGAGCTTTTCGGTTTTCCTCATCAGTCAACTTCAGTTCATTGTATCTGATTTCGCAGGCCTCCATTTTCTCTTTTAACTTTGAACAATTAGCCCTAGAAGTATGTAGATCGAGTTTTGAAAAATACCTCTTCTCTTCCAGTTCCTTTTTGACTTCAGAGAACTTTGTTCTCATTTCCTTCACTTCCTCTTCAATCATTTTCGTTTGTTCCTGTGAGTAAAATGTGGTGTAGGAAACTCGTTGTTACTTCTAGAAGTTTGACCAAGGCCTCTGACTTCAAAAGATTCCCATGGACTTCAGCGTACTTCTGTTTCTCAGACGTCAGTTTCGAATGCAACTCATCGTTATCAAGCTTTCATAGTCTATGGAAAACATTGTAATCAACAGTTACCTGCAATTTTTCATTAAATATCTGGCACTTCTCAAGAGCTGCTCTCATGTTATCTTGCCTTTTATACATGCATTCAGTGTCCTTCTCTAATTCCGTGACCTTCCTTCTCAGAATGACCTGTTATTGTGTTTATGAAATAATTTAACTTCTTACTGAGTTCTCACGATCAATACATAGAAGATGGTTTTCCATCACAAGGTCAGCTGCCAAAAGGATTATATTAAATTTGAGATTACCGCATATGTTATATATGTTCGACTCAAAATCATGCATAATCAGCGATCTAAGTATGTGACAACTTTATTCCATTCATTACCTGTTGTTTAGTACTTTCTTCAACTCAACGACTTTTCCTTTCACCACAGTTAATGTATGAAATATATCTTCATTCCTATGATGTTGTTTTTCCTGAAATGTGGAAAGGCTTTTTATCATATTGCTTATTTTATCGATCATAGACTTAACGTGAAATCGTGACTTGTCCACCTGGTCACAGAGATAATTCAGCTTCTGTTTCGAAGCATCCAAGAACTGTATTCTCAACCTGCATTTGTGCTGGTGTTCATCAAGCAGACACACTAGATCTTCATGTTCTTTCTCTTTGGTTTCCGACAATTTGACAGCGTTTATTCTCATTGCCTAAATCCTCTCACTATTTTTATTTGCATTCCTACCCTTTCGTTCTCTATAGTGCTTTCCAGACTTTTGATGAGTGATTTATACTCTTCATTGCTACATTTGATGTTTTCTTCCATCTGTTTTAACTCAACTAGTCGTTTCATAACCTGATGATAAATGTAGCATACTTTTATCAGTATTCAGTCCATCGATCTCCCTCTGCAGTTGAATAATTTCCTCTTGATGTTTCCGATCACAGAGGATAAGTTCTTCTTCCTGCAAACATTAGCGTTTTGAAGTGAAACTCACCAAGCATTTGTTTTCATCGCCTAACTGAATTATTCTTTGTTGCAGCGCTTCTACATCGCACTTTTTACTCTCAACTGAAGTGTTTTTAGATTTAAAAGAAGTTTACTTATGTCCTCGAATTCCTTGTATTTTGCTAAACATGTCTCTGAATGTTCGAGAAACTCCTTCTTGATGTTTTCGTAATTTCTCCGAAGAACGTCATATAATTCTTCTGACTGGAAAACTCTACTCTTTACTACCAAAAATTGCATTATGCATATAAATTTACCTGTCATGCTGGCCTCAGCCAACTTCTTGACTCTTTCTTCGAGTGCACTACTTTGACTCTGAATTGACGAGAACCTGGATTATTTATGTTGATTCTGCACAATATCATCCCACCTTTCCAGCACGTTGTCTCTTAACTCAACCTCCTCTTTATATTTCAAACTCATATTTTCCAGATTTATCTAAACGGAAAATCATGTCAGTATGACAAATACTTGAAGTTCCACATTTGCACTCCTTAGGTTTTCCACCAGTGATTCGTACGACTCCAATTCTAGACACTTTTGGAAGAAAGTATTAATCGTATTGCTTTTACCTTTCCTTCCAACTGAGACAAAGTGTTACATTTCCAGCTTTCTAAATCACTTGCCTCCTTTTTAAGACGGTTGTACAGACACTCAAAGCTGAAGTATGAAAGAAATAGTCTCTCTTACTTGTCACTTAAACTGACAGATCCAGGTGATTTGTCGCCTGTGTTGTAGTTATTGTCCGCTTTCTCACAATCATTATCAATACATGAGGTTTCTGCACTCGTGTAATCCGGAGACTTCCTAACTGTGCGATTCAGCAACACATCGTCTTCAGAACTAGTGGAGACATTGTAGACATCTGGAGATTGCATGATAGTCTTCTTGGACCTGTCATTCAGGAAATCAAGCATGGGTGACGCAGGAGCATGTTTCTGCAATCGAGTATGCTCCGTTGGTGAAGGCGATCTCGGTTGTTCGAGATCAATAGGAGAGGTTATGAACTTGCTTCTTTGAGAATTTACGGGAACACTTCTCAAGTTAGGGAGTTTAGGTGATGTATAAGACAGTTGGCCAGGTTCATTTTTCTTAGAACTGCCATCGAATTTCATCAACTTCGTCCACTTATCACTCCAGTTGCCCTTCGGTGTCGGTGAAGTGAAGTTGTTTTTCGAAGATGCAAAGCGGTCAGCAAACAGGTCGTCTTCGTCTAGGTCAAAGGTTGAGTTTGTGTTATTGTCATCCGTTGTATTCCAAATCGAGACGGACGGGTGTTTACTCATGACTCGTGGTGAATTGTTCTGTGCCAGTCCTTTTGGAGAGCTTTCTTCTTTCCGGAATGTCCGAAAATAGTTGCTTCTCATAGCCATTGCGCGAAAAATGATCTGCGTGTTGAAAAGTGCCTGGTGGCGTTTTCGTGTTTAGCAGTTTGTTTAATGTCCAATGTGGTAGTGACGAAGTCTTGACATGTACTTGAGTGATGACGCTGCTGCAATTGTCATTTCGCTGGACACTTTTTTAGTGGTTTTTAAATATTCTACATTCTGAGCTATTGAAAGAGGAGGTAGTAAATAGGGAGAATGTATTGGCCGAGTAAGTAGAGGAAGAGCAAACAGATCCAATATCCAGATTACGAGCTAGTATAAACCAGTGATTTCTTTGAGCTCGCTTCTTGATTGTGAGGTAGAGGTTCCAGATCTTCGGTGAGCTTCTGCGTAGTAAGTCCCGCCACTCGACTGCTTTAGCTCTGGTAGACTCCAAGAGGAGTGGTGCGGGGATTGGTCAAGATGTGGTTTGTAGTATGCAGTATGTTAGGACTGTATTGCTGCCGTGAATGGAGTTTGACCTAACTCCCACTGGTCATTCGGTTTAGTCATAAAAGCAGAATAGTAATAATAATAATAGTGTGTAGTGTAGATAATATGGGTTGAGATAAGTGGAATAATAAAGGTGACCTAAGGAAAAGATAGAGTGAGAGAAGGCAGAATAGGTCGTGGGGATTTAGTTTGTACGCTTATCCATTGACAGTGTGGTTTTAAGTTTTATGAGGATAAGCCATTGAGACACAAACCTTGCATTTCTGCATGATTGTCTAGCTTCCGCTTAAAAATCTCCACAGATGGCGCTGTAGTCACGGCCGCCGGTAAAGCGTTCCAGAGACGGCAAACACGAAGCGAAAAGAAATGTGATCGCACTCGAGTCTTTGGTCTCTGGTGTGCTATCCTTAGCGGGTTACCTCGTGGAAGCCTATAATCACTTAATGGCAGGATGCTTTTATTTGGGTGGGCCTGGTCATTTAGGATCTGGTAGACGGTGATGAGGTCTCCCCTGTGCCTACGGTAACTGAGTGTGAAAAGACCTAATTTCTTTAGTCTTTCCTCATATGATTTGTTGCGGAGGCCGATCACCCATTTTGTCGCTCGTCTCTGGACACTTTCTAGAATGTTAGCATCCCTTTTGAGTAGCGGAGGTGCAATGATATTATGCACCTCAAGGTGTGGCCTCACATATGCCTTATATAACCTTAAGAACAGTTCGGGAGTGAGAGCTCCCAGCTGCCTATGCATAAAGTGTAAAGTTGCGTAGGCTTTGGCGACGTCCCTCGAGTAATTTCCACTGGTGTCTAGCTTTTCTGTTAGAATAAGACCTAGATCGCGCTCTGATGGAACACAACTCAAGTTCTGGCCACCAAGGGTGTAATTTACACTCTGTGACCTGCCGGAATGAAGTTGCACTACTTTGCACTTCTTTAGGTTGAAAGGCATTCCGTTAGCCAGAGCCCAGTTTCCCAGAGTTTGCAGGTCAGCCTGCAATCTATCTGAGTCTTCCGATGAGTTTATTGCTCTCCAAATCTTTACGTCGTCAGCGTAAAGAAGCGCAGAGCAGTTTAGTTGGGGGGCAGGTCGTTGATAAAAATCAAAAACATCAACGGCCCTAGGATAGAACCCTGAGGAACCCCTGATGCCGAGGTGTGCCAGGATGATCGGATGCGGTTGACTTTGGTGCAGAATTCTCTCTCGCCTAAGTAATCTTTCAGCCATGCGAGAAGTGCTCCAGAAACACCCGCCTTGCTTATTTTGTGAAGGAGCAGACCATGGTGAACTGTGTCGAATGCTTTCGCAAAGTCGAGAAAGATCACGTGGGCTGGTACCTTTTTGTCCCAGGATAGTGTCCAATCGTTCCAAGCTAGTAGAAGATTCGTCACGCAGGATCTTCCCCTCCTGAAACCGTGCTGTGCTTCGTGAAGAAGGTTAGTCCCATCGAAGTATTTTCTCATGTGGTCGTCAATGAGACTTTCCAATATCTTCGATATCACTGGAAGTAGAGCAACTGGTCTGTAACTGGTCGCATTCTGCCGGTCACCACCCTTGAAGATAGGGGATAGGATTGCTCGTTTCCATTCACATGGAAGTTTCCCTACATCAAGGGAGTGTTGGAACAGATCACTTAGGGGTTGACAGAGACTTTCTGAACACTGCTTCAGGACAGATGGTCTGATGTCATCACAACCTGAGACTTTCCCGAAGCCAACCTTCCCAATTTTGCAAGTACCATAGCCGGGGTAATTTGAAATGTACCCAGCAGGTTTTCGCGTGTTGGTTTGCGATGTAATCTGGATGTTCTGTGGGGTAATATCCTCGTTACTGTTTAGTTGCCTGTGAAAGGCTAGGCTGAATGTCTCTGCCATTTCAAGACTAGTAAGAGATTTCCCATCAGAACCCACTAGATTGCATGCTCCCTGGTTGGTCGGTTTTCTTTCGGACATAAACCTGTATAGGCTTTTGGGGTTCACGAGAAGCTTATTGGCGAGGTTCCCTGAAATGTCCTTCTATCGCTCCGGACTCGTATGTTACATCGATTCCTGAGTTCAAGGTACACTTCATGTTCGGGTTGACTCTTCGATCGTCGCCACGCAAACCAGGCTTTTCGCTTCGCCTGCAGAAGGCGTTGTGTCCCCTTTTTAGCCATGATCGTTGCTTCCTAGCTTTTGGTGTGACTAAAGGAACAGTGTCTGAGACCGCCTGGTGAATGATCTCCTTTACCACTCTCCAGTGTTCTTCTACTGTTAGCTCTGTCCATTTTTTAGGCCAGTTTGCTTCAGACAGAAGTCTTCGCATTTTGGTGTAGTTGGCTTTGTTATAACACAGATAGGGCTGTGTATTGTCCCACTGTAAGCGCTCGCGGAGGACTATGTCGAATACTATGACCGCGTGGTCACTACTACCTATGGGAGTCGTGATCTGAACGTTTTCCACTAGTAGCTGGTCACTAGTGAGCACGTAATCCAGTCTAGAAGACTTCCCATCAGGGCCCCATCTAGTATCCATCTTGACATTTTCAGTGAATCCAGCCTTCCTGATGGTATGCAGCAGATTTCGATCAAATCTATCATGGGCTTTTCCCGACACCAAGTTAAGAGATGGGGCATTGAAGTCACCAGCTATGACAATTTGATCATAACCCATGTCTTGAGTTGCTGAGATTGTATTTAGCAGTACCTGGTTGTGGTCTGCTCCACATGAAGGTGATCGATAAATGCTGCCCACTAGATATTTGCAGTACCCAACGGTGAAGTGGCACCATATGGAGTCAGGGAGCTCTGTGAGGGGAGGGTCCATCGCGTGAACACATCTGAGCTGTTTGTCGACGTATATGGCGACTCCACCTCCTTCTTTCAGGTCCCTATCTCGCCTGACTAGGACCATATCATTTATACTGACTTCGCTGTCTGCCACCGTAGGGGTTAGCCAGGTTTCCGTCAGTATTATGATTTTGGAGTTCAGTTGTGATTGTAGGTGTCTAAGTTCAGCTATTTTGCCTCTTAGCCCTCTCACATTACTGTACAGGCAACTGGTAGTCAGTCTCACCACTTCCCCGTATTGGGGGGTAGTTGACTTGATATTGGCTATCGGTTGAGGAGTTATCCTACGAACTAGTTGGCCGATTCCCCAGGAACCGGCCTGTTGGCGTTTTTTTCTTCTAGTTCAGTTGGAGCACTCGGATGACACTGGCTATCATCGTCCGTGCTGCACCGCTGTAGTGTGACTAGGGGTTGAGGATTTTCTTTTACTACGCTTTGTTCTCTCCTTTGAGTGCGAGGCCGGCTCTCGCAGCAGCGAATGTGTTTGCTGACCTTGTCCTTGGTCTCGTACCATCTATGGAGAGCGGTAGTCAACTGGTCTTGGGAGCTGAACTTGACAGCTAACAGACGTGGCGTGTTAATTGACATAAGATGAGTGGGTCGAGGCAGTCTATAAATAGAGACAGCCCCTGAACTCCCAGGGCCATCTGGGATGCCAACCATCTCCATTGTTGTACATCATGACAATGCTTTTCGCAGGCGTTCCCAGTTACCAGTTCGGGAATGCCATGCACAACCATGGAGGCAGAAGGAATGAGCTCTGGCGACTCCCTCGCCATTTGTCTTTCCTTCCACGGCCTGTCTGGCTTAACACGTATGTTACAGGCCCTCCCTATAGAAAGGACTTGAGAAGCCAGTAACACTTTTTCAACATCCTCGGTAGAGCCCAATGTTACCCTCAGTGGGGATGGTTTGCCTTCAGGTGCAGCAGTGCCCCTATACAATCTGCATAGATTTACTGGTTGGATGTCCAAACCCAGTGTGCTACACAAGATGGACCACTGTTCCTGATCAAATAGGGCCCTATCTTTCAGCAGACTACTACTACAGTCTGGTACATTAAAGAGGATTACACAATTTGATCTACTAACCGTGGGCTTGGGCTCGGTCCTCGCATATTTGTGATCCCTTTAAGACCGTTTTGGTTCGTCTGGTGCGACTGGGTATTTTTGTTCGTTTCAGTGCTATGGCCAGTATTACTGGCAGACGATAGGGGTCTTTTTCCAACGACGGAAACCCGTGGTGCTCCAGCCTCTGTGTCTGGAGCGGTTATGTCAAGAGTTACAAGTTTAACCGGTGAGGATTTTGGTATCCCCGGTTTACATGCGTTTGTACTAATTTCCGGATTGGTGGGGGTCGAACATTTCGCATTTTTCCCTGCTACTTTTGCGCCAACTTTAGTTTTCAGAGGACTACTTGAGGCTACATCAGGACGGCAACTCGGGCATATGTACCAGAACCATTGGCATGGGTTCTTACGCATAAAGTCATAATATGCTTTTGGTACCCCACTGTCGCATCTGCAATGCACCCATCGCTTGCAAAAGTTACATTCGAAAGCAGAGTCTGCTTGTTCGACAACAGAAGCGCAGACCTTGCAGTCGTCTGCCTCCTTGGGGTGCGTTCTTGTCGTCTTGCGAC